AGGGTGTCTGATGATCTAAGACCGGAAAGACCTAGGGTTCATCACTGATGATGTGTTCAAGTTGAGGCATTGGGTGTTTCAGAAACCAGCTTTTTTTAATTCAATTTTTTTGCTCAGTTTGGTCATCTACATGAAACAGTTTTTTTCCCTGGGCATTATCTCCATATTCTCTCTATAATAGTTTCAAATATTTAGTTGTTTAATAAATTTATTTTGTCTAGCTAATTTTATTCAAGAGGTATTTTACATGCACAACATATTGCAAATACTTTTCAGAAATGTTCTATAATACCAAGAGTCTCTCTCTGGGTAGTCCATCGTCATCCGATGATGACGTCTCCTATAACTTGTGGGTTCTTTGATGACTGTATAGTCCGATGCGGGATGCACACTGTCTTTCACAGACAGGGCATATGAAAGTTTCTCCTGATGATCTTAAGGGAGCAGGAACAAGCTTGGCCTGCTTTCTCTGATGTCTTTTATTCAGGCATTGTTCAGATCTCCTGTCTTCATAGCTTTGTACTCCATTTTGGCAAAGATGCTGCCAGAGCTTGCGATTCACGGCACTAGTTTCCAGGAATGTGGGCCTTATCACACACTTCTTAAGAAAGCCTAGCTGGTCTTTCAGCCTCTTTTTTGGCCTCCTGCAAATCGGGAGCCAAGATGTAATTGACCGTAGATTATCTTACGTGGAAGGCGCCTTGGCGGCATTCTCACAACATGACCAAGCCATCTCAGTTGGTAGAGCATCAAAGTTGCTTCTATACTCCAACAATGAGTTTTTTTCAGGATCTCAATGTGTGGAACTCAATCTTGCCATGTCACTTTGGAAAGATTCCAACATTTTCACATGTCGAGCCTAGATGGTCCATGTTTTACAACCATACAGGAGGGTGGTAAGTCCCGATATACAGGAATCTTTGTGTGTAGATGTAAGTTAGTATTAAAAAATACTCTTTTCCTCAATCTCCCAAATGAAGCAGCGGCCTGCTTGATCCTGTGTTGAATATCTTGATCCATAATACAATCATTAGATAAATAACTGCCAAGATATTTGGAGTGTGGCACTGTGACAAGTAGGGAATCATGAATAGTGAATGCTGGAGGTTTTTGCAGGGGATCCAGTGTCCAACTCCATTGGCAGAGGACTTCTGTTTTCTTGAGATTCACATCTAAGCCCATCCTGCTGTATGCTCTAACAGCAGCATTAAGAGTGGTCTGCAAACCTTCTGTAGTGTGTGAAACCAAGGCACAATCATCCGCATACTGCAATTCCAGCACAAAATCCAACTAAAGCTTAGTGACTGCCTGGAAACTGTTAAAGAGGTTAACGTTCAGTCTATAAGCCACAGCAACGCCACTTTGTAACACACAGCAAGAAGATTAAACACGACAGGTGCAAAAACACAACCCTGTCTTACTCCAGAACATACTGCAAAGTGTGGCGATTCTAATCCACCCAATGTTACTTTGGCTGTCATCACGTCATGAAACTGCCACAAGATTGTGGTAAACTTTACAGAGCATCCAAATTGCAAGAGCACTTTCCATTAGAGGTCACAATGTACAGTATCAAAAGCCTTGGAAATACTTTTCAGAAATGTTCCATAAAACCAAGAGTACTGTATTGAGAATGAGGAGTCACGTGCCTATTTGGGTGGGGTCTGAGCCGGGAGTCCATGATGGTAGGAGACGCTATCGGTTACCAGGGGCAACGCCTTTAGAACCCATAGACGCCACTAAACATTATTATTTTGGCAGGACAAAGACGGATCTAAGAATACGACAAAAAAAGGAAGAAAGTAAAGCAATGCAAAAAGATAAGGCGAAAGAAAAGGGACCTTACAGGAACAAACTCACACAAAGTGCAAAACATCTGTATTTGGAGAAGCATCATCAATATATTTGTTCTTTTGCACTACAGTATTATTAATTTATTTTATTATTATTACTTATGTTGTCCATGAAACTTATGTTGTCCAAATAGCCTATATATTTCAGTTCTCAATAAATATTGTTAAGCCATATCAAGTTGTTTCAAACATTTATTTCAATGAAATAAAAAAAAGTAATGAACAAGGCACTCAAACAACACTTTTGCATATGTTCGTTAAGGCACAGCAAACAGTGAAAATCGTATACTAAAGGCATCAGCAAACCTAGCAATCCGGTGTCTCCTCGATAGATCAGACTCTCCCTGCTGTGTCAATTTCGGTAACCCCAAAAACTTAATTCCATTGTTCCTATGTTTATCGTGTGAGTTACTGGAGGACTTTTTAACGCAGCAGTTACTTCCAGGCATGGTAAAACAGTGCGGTATTGCGAGAAACTCCTCTACTACCGAGCTAAAAACACACGTAATCTGTTTTGCCGTGGGAATCCTACCAACATGGCGGAAAGGGGAGGGACACTGTAAAATGACGTCAACTCCTCATTCTCAATACCACTGGTGGTATTAGCATGTGAAGAGTTCAGATGCAAAAGCCTTTAAATGCCATTTGAAATTTTCTTCTTTAATGATGATTTTTATCAAACTTGTATATTTAAGTTCAGTAATTTCACTTAAATAACAATTAATAGGTAATTATCATTGCCATTTAAGTGAAATCACTTAACTTAAATATACAAGCTTGATAAAAAATGGATCATTCTAGAAGAAAATTTCAAATGGCACTTAGAGGCTTTTGCATGTGAACTCTTCATGTGGTACCATCACTAGCCTACTACAGGCTAGTTTGTTGTTGTTGTTGTAAGAGACATATTGCTGTTTATAACTAGAGGAAAACTGATCAAGAATAAATAAAAAAATAAGACAGTCGAACTGAAATGTTTGCTCTTGTTATGTTTTGGCAATTGGCTTTATTTTTACTATACCTGAACTTAAGCCAGCTCCTTGTTACCTGTCTGCTGATAAATTCAGGTGTCTGATTATTGTTGCCGTGACTACTGAGGTCAGGCACACCTGAATTAATCAATTTCTCCAATAATGGCAGACAGGAAAGGAGCTGGCTTAAGTTCAGGAAGTAGTGCAGCTTCTCCACAAGATGGCAGCATCAGACTGTATTCGTCACGTGTTCTCTAATGGATTATTTTCTTTTGAAGCCAAGCGTGAAATCGTGACCTTGTGTAATTACCTCACCCTGACAGTAGAAGGCGTAAAACCCTACATTTTCCTTTGGTTTAGGCCTTGTAAAAGTTTAGAAGTTTCTAGAATGGGTAGGCCTGAATGAGTCATATTATATTGTTTTCCTCAAGGACAAACTCACACAGAAAATAAAATTGTTCTGAACTGGAACGGATAAGCTTTTTTTTTTTTTTTTTTTTGGATACTCAAGAGATTAATCACATATAGTATATGATTATCTTTATAAATATCTTATATCTTGCTGGATTGTAGTAGAGCACAACAACAGTGACTGTCCACTTTTTCAGTGGCCTCAGTTACAGATGTAGTTTTCCCACTCCCAAGAAAAAATTATCCTATGAGGAAACTACTTGTTCTATGAAGCATTACTCTACAGATGACTATTGACAACTAGTAATAAATTGTAGGTATAGAATTCTCTTTAATGTTTATTGCAAAATATTCAGATATATTAAAATATATAAGTTGTTTAGACTGACACACCATCATTCCCAATGCTTCATGGGATTGGTGCATCGGGTGTGATGCACAAGAACACAACTGAGCTATTTCAACTACAGCCTAATGTTTACCAACATAAAGACAGGGCCTTGAACTGTCATTGAATGGTTGCACAACCCCACAGCAACACCTGAACTGATCCCCAGAATCCAGATATTTTTTCTCTTTGTGTTTTACATATGGAAACATCAGTCGTGATTGGTTTCTCTTGAGCTCCATGCATGCAGACCTGAGCTCTAAATTTATTTTATAGCCATTAGAGATGAACAGCTTTCTCTAAATAAAGCATGCCACAATCAAATTTTGTTGTTAGCAAGCTTCTCGCCCAGTTACATATTAACATTTTCTTGCATCAGATTATCTACAGGTAATAATTTTGCATCATTAAGCATGACTATTTATTTATTTTAACATTATAACAGATTTTATGTCTAATTGAATTGCACTTGGTCTTATAAAATGGATGACTCCTCAGTTGATGGCATGAATTTTTACATAGGGCTTACATTTAATTTGACTATGTGCATATATGTCAGCTATAATGTTTCTTTGAACAGTACTGCTTTAAATAGATAGTAATTTTTCCAACCGTGAGAAATATTCACTGGAGTAAAAAGTGTGACAACAACTCTAATCTCCCTATGTAATATAAATAGCATATATAATGTATAGTTCTATAAAATATCTGGTAAATATAGGTAGCCTACATAGTTTTATTATTGCAAAGTAAAACTAAAAACTAAAACAAGTGTTTGTAATTAAAATAAAGTTCGATTAAAAAAAATAAATATGAGAAACAACTTTGACTTAAAAAACTTGTTGCATTGACAATTAGACCTATCTATAATAAACTAATTGAACCAATTGAAAACAATTGAATTTAAGTATACCTAAACTAATACTGTTTTTTTATAAGCAATATTATTATTTTTTAATTATTTAATTTATTGCTGAGTCTGCACACTCATATGAATTTACATAAATTTAGTGTTTAGAATTTAGTGTTCAGTTATCTTTTACTCTATCTGAGGCGTCCTCCAGACGGCAACAGTTCAAACATGTGGTGACCAGATTACTGTGTTAGTTTATGCTAAATAGGTAAATGTGCAAACACTTTCAGCACAACAATAATGAGCATTCATTCAATTTCTTATATACTCAAAAAGCAACATTACAAAGTCAAAGACAAAACATACAACGCGGGACATACAGTGAGTCATTGCAGGATGTGATGCATAGCAATCAAAAATGAAACATGTTTTTTTCAGCCAATGATGTGAGAGGATACTTGCATACATTAGCACGTCACCCAATAGCACGTTAGCTGGGCGTGTACGTAAACGCATTGCGCGGTGTTCGTCACTAAAAAGCCCTTGGCTCAGTCAGTACTTGATATAGGTGCGTAAAGTGAAGAATTTGACTGTGCTGTTGATTCTAGAACAACAAGTTGCCCTCTAGTATTTTTCAAAATAAGGACATTAAACTGATTTAGCTCGACAAGACTGAGATGTTACAGTTTAGGGCTTCAATTGTGCTCAAGGAGTTGATTCAAACCAGCCCTAAGCGTTCGTTCTCTGACATTATAAGGCACAAAAAGACTTCACCAAACGCGTACTGCTTCAGCGCTGCATATCGGGATGACAGAATTTTTAAATTAAAGATTGTCTACAATGGAAGACCTTTTATTCAGCCTTTAGCTGGGAGAAGATTTCTGTGTACAAAGACCGATGGTGCGATTGAACCTACAGAGCCAGTGAAGAAAGATGAGACCGTCCAGGAAGCGACGGCAGATAAGTACGAAATATATATTTGTCATTTGGTTATGACGCATATGATATTCAAGGTTATTGATCAGAAGTATATGGCATGTGTTCAGCACACGCGTCAAAATATTCCCGAATGGCTGACAACGTGGCGCTGTGTGTACAGTTACACTTTTACAGCAAGTGGGTGGAGAACATGTGTAGTCTAATATTGATATTTGAATTTGGTTTAGGTCGGTATACAGTGTTTCTTTCTGGCAATGTGGCACCCCCTGAAGAACAGTAGCCTATGTGAAGAACAGTCCTACGTCTTGATGTGACATTTTGACGTTTTTGAAAGAATGTTTTTAAGTGAGTGAATCGGTCTCGTTCACCTCCATGCAGTGACTCGCATTTTCCGTTCACAGAAGTGGTTACTTTTTGAATCGCGTGACTCCTGTTCCGTTGTCATGACAATTCGGGTCCTCCCCAAACATGACAAACCCAAACTCCCTTGAAATCGGGTTTCCCCAAACTGTCAGTTAACTATCCTAAGTATGAACGATATTAAAGGGTTAGTTCACCCAAAAATGAAAGTTCTGTCAATATTTACTCAACCTCATGTTGTTCCAAACCTCTATGTGTTTATTTGTTCTGCTGAACACAAAGGAAGATATTTGGAAGAATGTTTTAATCAAACAGATCTCATTCCCCATTGACTACCATAGTAGGAAAAAATACATAATATGGTAGTCAATGGGGAATGAGATCTGTTTGATTAAAACATTCTTCCAAATATCTTCCTTTGTGTTCAGCAGAACAAACACATAGAGGTTTGGAACAACATGACGGAGGGTTTTAATGTTCCACTGTGTTTAGATTTGTCGCAGCTAGGTTACTATAAGCAATAGCGACTGAAAGAGACCTGATCATGTTGGAGTTGGAGCTTATTAGAAATGAGAGAAGACGTCGGAGGAGATAGTACGTGTGGAAATGCGTGAGGTACGTGCAGAAATGCGTAGGAGGAAATGCGATGCTACCAAGCCGACCAATCACCGGTCTTGCGGTCCGCGTCGTCGCGACGTGTAGTTACATTTTCGATGAGGTGCGTGTCAGGCTACGGCGAAGGGTACGCGATATGGGACTCGTCTGTGCGTATGCTACGGCGTACCTACCGCGCGCACCCTACGCAGAAGTATAAATTGGCCTTTAGGCTGTAAAAGAGCATTTCATTGGTTGAACGCACTGAACGAATATGCCGTTAGTTTTTAAATGAACAGCAACGTCTGAAATCACATAAGTTAGGCCTAACATTACTCTCTTGAGTAACGTAACATTAGGTACTTATTTCGAGTAAGTACTTCATGAGCGGTAAAAAGGTATGTTCTATGAATGTGTGTATTATGAATGTAATCCGGACTTACTATATTAGTCATGTTGTCATTATCATGTGACCTACCAGTCAGTTGCACTTCACTGCCATTCACAAATACTCTGCCCTGGCTTTATGGGATAGTAAAGTGTTCACCGTATGCACACTTCAAAATCTCGCCAGCCTACTATAAAGTAGGGAAATATGCGATTTAGCCCTAGTTTATGAATGAATCGGCCTTCTCTTTTTTATATAAAATTATGTAAGTTGTGTTTCATGAGTTATATAACCAAAAACATCTAGGCCTAATTGGGTGAAACATCTGAATGAACTGGGTCGTTAAGTATATTAATGAATTGGAACAACTCGTTTGTAAACCAAAGTTATTGAGAATGACGTCACGCGTATCACTCCGCGTTGCATTGTGGGAAGGATACGCCATTTTGGAAGGATACGCTATCCGTTGTCATGGGCTGTGTCCGAAATCTCCCACTACTCACTATATAGTGGGCTATAGTGAGCTCACCATTTTGTAGTGCTGTCTGAATGTAGTGATTATTATTATACCCTATATAGTCCACTCAATGTATCCCAGAATGCATTTTGAAAAGTAGTGTATGGTCACTAACCCAGGCCCTACATACCATCATGCATTGCGCTGATCGTAAAAAAGACGTACGTGCGACAGCAATGACGTAATCAATGGCGCCGAGAGACGATCGAGTAGTGTTCGAAAGTGGTTTTTATTATGCTGGTGAGCTCACCTCCTACATAGGGGGTAGGGAGTAGTAGTTTGAGTGGAGATTTCGGACACAGCCATGGTTACTTTGACTGTGAGATCGAGAGAAATAGAATGAACGATGTTTTTTCATCAAAGTGATAATTGATTAAAAACGATAAATCGATAATGCAGATGAAAACTAGCCTTTTGGCTAACTCTGGCATATTTTGACTTGTCATGTTAATATGCACTGTCTGTCCTTGTAATAAATAAATAAATTTCAAATGTCAACCCAGCCCTACTTATTGTTCTTGGCGTGATTGGCCTATAGTCATTCACAACAAGAAAAGAAACTGTTATTAATGTGTTCCAACTCCATGCATACAAGTTATTTAGGCTAACAAAATCATTTATTAGCTACTGCTGTTAAGTAAATTAGTAGACAAATAAAATGTATTTACTGTTTGCACAATAAGATCGGAGCAACTCAGTGTTTTTAGCAAATTTGTTGAGTGGCTCATTCATAACAGAATGTCTTCCTCCTGATGACTTGCAGAAAGGGCCATTAAATGATTGAGGGAACGAGTATGATTTATTTATTTTGTAATGGATGCATGTAAAAGTTGAGTAACTGGAATGAATCATAATGAAACCAAATAATGTTAAGCATTAGTGTGTTAACCCAGTAATGTTTACTTTGTGGAAGTTGAAGAGGGAAGTGGCGGTGGATCTTATCAGCTGCTCCATTTATGACTCCACACATACGGCAGCTGTGGAATTTTAATAATGCACTTCCACAAACAGGCCGTGAGTGTATGCGGGGATCTGCAGCAGTGTTTTCAGTGGAGCATTTAGCTCTTTTAACCAAACTTATTATTCATGTTTATAGATGAACATGGCAGTCTTTTCCTCATGCTCTTCTGCTTGCCTGTGGTTCACACAGTGTGCGTGACTCATCGCTCGTCTGTCCATATGGATTATTTATAAGATGACGCAGAAGGCTTGTTCTGTCCCTGCAGACAGACTTTAATCGAGAGCTTGATCATCCTCTCATGAATGCCATGCTGTCTCAAGGAGGAGCAAAAAGTAAAATAGAGACAAATAGACTAAATTTCTGCTGTCTTTGCCTACTCTGTTAATAAAAAAACATGGGCATTGGTCCAGCTGGCATAATTAAAGTTGATGACGTACAGCATAATCCTGTTTAGTGATGTGTTGAACTTGGACTAATGGGTAATACAGATTATCACACAATTAATGTGCTGTAAGGTGCTGTAAGGTTGTAATTGCATGAATATGGTGTAGTGTTCGACCGCATATAGTGTTGATAAAAATGTGAAATGTGAAAAATGTGACGATACCAGCATTTCCCTCTAGCCTTTTGAGCGCATATGAATGTTTTCTTACACACACCTCTAGACATCAATGTTGAGAGCTTGAACGCAATGGCCAATCACAGACATCTATGTTGACCGCGTGAACGCAATGGCCAATCACAGACATCTATGTTGAGAGCTTGAACGCAATGGCCAATCACAGACATCTATGTTGACCGCGTGAACGCAATGGCCAATCACAGACATCGATGTTGAGAGCTTGAACACAAAACTGTGCCGAAGTTACGTCACTCTGTAGGCCAAAACGCTGTGAGTTAGCATTTTAGCACTCCCGGTTCCCTCGCTCTAAAGTCTATGGGATTTTTGAATGGGTTTTTTGCTAAATTGCCTGAAATAAGGTCTGTGGTGAACAAAGCCTCTAAATATTTTCACGTTTTGATAACACACAGTTATAACCTGGTTATGTGTTGTTGTTGTTTTTTTCAACTTTATTGTGTCTGCTTGTGTTTTTAAAAAACTTTATATAGGCTTCAAAATTTGTACATTTTGGATTAACTTGTAAAGATTATCTTGATAGACAAAACGTGTAAGGGTCACAACTCTTTGTTAAACACAGATCTTATTTTTTGCGATTTTCCAAAAGTCTATGGGAAAATGCATAGCTTATCAATCGAGGGAACCCATGTGCCGCTAGCTTCCGAATTGTCCTACAAAGTGACGACATCACTTCGGCACTCTATGGCCAGTCACTGACATCTATGTTGAGAGCTTGAACGCAATGGCCAATCACAGACATCTATGTTGAGTGCGTGAACGCAATAGCCAATCACAGACATCTATGTTGAGATCTTGAACACTATGGCCAATCACAGACATCTATGTTGAGAGCTTGAACGCAATGGCCAATCACAGACATCTATGTTGAGAGCTTGAACACAATGGCCAATCACAGACATCTATGTTGAGTGCGTGAACGCAATGGCCAATCACAGACATCTATGTTGAGAGCTTAAACGCAATGGCCAATCACAGACATCTGTGTTGAGAGCTTGAACTCAATGGCCAATCACAGACATCTATGTTGAGATCTTGAACACAATGGCCAATCACAGACATCTATGTTGAGAGCTTAAACGCAATGGCCAATCACAGACATCTGTGTTGAGAGCTTGAACTCAATGGCCAATCACAGACATCTATGTTGAGCGGATGAACGCAATGGCCAATCACAGACATCTATGTTGAGAGCTTGAACGCAATGGCCAATCACAGACATCTATGTTGAGAGCTTGAACGTAATGGCCAATCACAGACATCTACGTTGTTGAGTACGTGAACGCAAAAGAGTGGTGCAGGTATTGACGTCACTTTGTAGACCAAGTTAGCTTCACACTGGTTCCTTCAACAAAAACCCAATTTCACTTTTGGATTATCACTAAAAACAAGCTCTGCGATCAACAAAATTTGATGATACTTGCACTTTTTGTCCATCAATATAATTATCACAGATACACAACTTTTATACATTTTGAAGCCTAAATGCAGACGCCAGAAGTAAAAAGCTATAAACAAACTACACCATTGTCCCATTGTCCCATCAAGCTTCAGACACCTCTTTCAGT